GAGAGAGTTAAAACATTCAGTCGTATATGCTTATTTAAAAGCCATAAGACTAAAGTCACAAAACAATAAATGATGTTGGTAGGCCACAATTTCTTTCACAGTTGGATGCTCTGAAATCCAAGGAATGCATGTCATTTAATATGGAACTTACTTGTTCAAAAACTCCTGGATGCTGAACTCCACCTCATGTGTCTGTACTGCTGCCATCTCTTCATCTTCTGTCAAATGAAGAAGAAATACATTAACTTTCTTTAAACTGATTAATTTCCCATTTGAAACAAAATTGAGTTACTCGAGTAAGGTCTCACTAACCTGGCCTAGTTTCATCTTCATCCATTTCTCCCACTTCATGCTCAGTCGTAACAAGGACTGAAAAAACAAAACAGTAAAATACATGGATTATAAATTATTCTTCATGAAAGGATGAAAAGTACATTTGACTGAATAACAGACTGACTGAGTGACTGAATTACTGATTGCAACAATTACTAACTGACAGACTGACTGCAAATGCTTACCCTAACCAACTGACTGATTATCAGACTGACTAATTGACCAACTACCGGTAGCTGTAGGTTGACTGACTGCCTGGGTAGATGGCTAGCTAAGAGGCTCGATTACCAGCTAGGAAGGATTGAACACCAGAAAAATCAGGGCTTGACACTAACTTTTCCACTGACTAGCCAAGTGGGTAGTGACATCTTAGACATCTTCAATGTTACAACAATTTCAGTTTGTTTACTAGTCAAACTAGCTTGTGGAAATAAAAAACCACTAGCCAAAACTGAATTTCTACTAGTCTATGGCTAGTTGGCTACCATTAGTATCAAGCCTTAAAAATTGTGGAAATCATACCTAAATAGTTGATTGACTGACTCTCTCAGTCAGTGAAAGAGTGCCCTCACTCAGCAAAAGAGTGCCCTCAGTCAGTGAAAGAGTAAACAACTGACTGACCATTAATTTTGATTTATCAAGAGCTTTTATATATAATGTTGGATTAGAGTTAAACTTAAGCCTGTTTTCTCACTTACCAGAGGGAAGATCCATTTTGAAGATGTCAGACAAACACATGAACTCATCTTCTGCACTAATTCCAACTGAACCAAAATGGTCATCCTCTGGCCAAACATCTCTGAATTGGAATGATGTTTTGTGTTAGTGCAACTGATGCACCACTGATTATATTTTTCCACCCCTTATTTAGAATGTACATGTATCAAAGTGTTATCATACCTGGCTGCCCTGAGCATTGCCACAGCTTCTCCACTATGATGACCTCTAAGAAACTGTTGAATTTGGGCTAAAGCATTTGTCCTAGAAACAAAAATGTGGTTAATGAGATGCCCTGATGTGAGAGTGTGACAGAAAACATGCTGTGGAACTATGACTAAACTTTAAGGCAAGGGATATAGGCCAAAAGGAGGCCAAAAGGAGGCCAAAAGGAGGTAAAGGGATATAGGCCAAAAGGGGTATAGGCCAAAAGGGATATAGGCCAAAAGGGATATAGGCCAAAAGGAGGTAAAATGAAGACTTGTAGCATTTTATTATATACTGTTTAGTCACTTAAGACCCATCTTCTTTAAATTGTCTACTGCCCTCAGAATATATTTGAGTGTTGGTATATTCACAATTTTTTAACTTATTTTTCTTGAGAAGCATTCAGAACCAGGGGTCAGCAATGTATGCAATAATTTGAATATATCAACAAAGTTGAAATGGTAAATTGGCCACCGTTACGATTATAAAAGTTGACATTTCGAGCATTAGCTCTTCGTTGGAGCCAATTTACCATTTCAACTTTGTTGCTATATTCAAATTATTTTGTTACCCCCACCGACGCAGCCCCAAACAGTTTCTTTAGAAACTATTAGCCTTTATTCAGCAATGTATGCAGCCTATCCTAAATGTATGTGACTTACTTCTGTTCATCAACAGGGATTTCTGAGGCAGCATCAAAGGGAACAACTGAATCAGGAATATCCCCTGCATGTCCCTGAAGTGTGGCTGAGAGATCAGAAGCCAGTTCCTGCCACTTCTCCTCCCTTTCCGCTGACGTCAAGTTTACTGGAGCTGCAACAAAGGAATAGGCGATTCATTTCTTGACTTAAAAACAAAAAACTTGAATCTTTCTCTGGTTAAGCAACCAACATGGTGAATTGAGGAACAAAAAAAAGAAAGGAACTCACCTGGTAGCTTATTTCTTTTCCTTTTTTTTGAAGCTTTCTTCTTTTTCTAAAAGAAAATAAAAACAGTAAAAATAAAAATTCCACTATTCATTTTAAATAACTAAATCAAAGGGTTTTTATGATTTCTATTACCTTGACTACAATGTGAGTTTTTCCAGAGCAGTACTTTTCTAACATCTTCAAGAAAATATGGAAAGCTTCAATCAAGTCTCGCAGGTAGCTCCTAAAGAAAAGGATACACTATATATATTCACAATTCATTTTCATAACAAGTATTATTCTATTTTTAAAAAGATGATAAATAGATGCATCATACTTACACTTAAAACTGAAAGATCATTCAACAATAATGACAAAAATAAAAGAATTCCCCTCACTTTGTCTGTATTGTCATGTTAAACTTTTTTAGAAGACTCAGAAAGGTATCTCTGTATTCTGGTGTGTAGAAAATATTGCCTAAAATGGAATCAATAAAAGATTCAAAAGTGAAAACTTGAATTGCAGAAAGACATTGTAGACCTTTTCTCTCCCTTTACAGTATTTTTTAAAAACTGTTATTCATCTGTGCACTACATTACACATAGCAGTACATGGTTTACTTAAAGCTGACAAATAAGAACCAAAAACAGTATGATACACCTAACTGATGAAGCATGCACAGTGAAAGGATTAGACAGCCTTCCAAGATATACCTGTGAGGTAACAATGGATGGTTGGGCTATACAGACACCAAGTTTCTGTCTTTGAGCTCACATAACATGAACTGAACAGTAACAATTACAAGTAACTAGTTGAGAGAGGTTATGAATTTCACTCACAAAGCTTTTGTTGTCAGCTGTAGCAAATGAGATTCCTCTTGCTCCTCTTAGATGAAAACTAACATATTTACATGCATATAGGCACCCACGTATAGGCTGCACTATGAACTATTGACCTGACCTCCAGGGAAAAAAGTTTTTTCCAGTAACAAAGCACAATCAAGCCATAACGTTGAGAAAACTCTCTCTTTAAATTTCTCATTCGACAACAAAACAACATCTCTAAGAAAGAAAACCGTCTTCTTGAGTGGAAATGTTCGTAGAAAATATTTACATGCTTCCATCTTCGTATGTTCTTCTTGTATACTCCATATTGGCGTGCAGCTTCTCGGTTTCCCTTCTCTAAAGCGCAAGTAATGACGGCGAGTTTAAAACGTGATGAATATGATACTCTTGTTGATCCTTTTGGCATCGTGATTTCTTAGAAAATGAGAGTGATTTGCCTGTTTTCATTCTTTGACAGTGTGCAACATGCAGGTTACCATGTTACATACTGGGCTAATAGTATTGAAAAAAAATGAACCCCTCTCTATGCAAAGCGAATAGAGCAAATGTTATTGAGAATATTGCTCGCGTTGTTTGTGATTCAACGATTCAGCTGTTTTTACAGGCCAAAAGTAACCAGAAAATGGGTGGAACTACTTGCAACTATGAAATGAAAAGTGAAATACAAGGATATCATGTATATGGAAACACCTGGAAACCCACAATTTATGAGACCGATTCAACTGGAAATAAACTAGTGGGACACCTGCCGGCAGAATTCAGCTGTATTACTTGTTATTTTTTTTAAGAACGGTGGAGAGATTTCTTGCCAAGTGACTGGAAAGAGGGTTCACTCACAAGGTCCTTGAGGAGGAATGGCTATTTCATGCAAATTACAGCGGATGTCTTCAAATAAGAAACATGTTCAGAAGCTGGACAAACTTATTACAGCCGAGAGAAGCAAAATTCTTGGAGGATATGAACTAATTTAACGTAAGCTCGTACAATGCATTGAATGAAATTGTGAATAACTGAGGAAGTTTGTTGATTATTGCATTGGGAAACTTTGCATATTAATGAGCTGTGAACTCTTGTACCTGTGTATAGGCCGCACTGAATGAATGAATGAAATCTTTATTTAAAACACGGTAAAATATCAGTATGACAATAGAAAACAAAGGAGAAATTCCTCTTAAGTAAAATTTTCTATTAACTGGTTTACATATTTGCCGTGTGGGAGCCCAATAAAGAGAGCCATTTATCTTCTCTTGAAGATGCGTAGAGATTTTGTAGTGTGAATATCCTCAGAAAGATCATTCCAAAGAGAAGCTCCGCTATAACTGAAGCTACACTTCAGGAAGTCAGTTTTTGGTTTCGGCAAGTACAATTTTTGGCTTGCACCACGAAGATCAAAAGACAAGGTTCTCGGAGTGAACATGTTACAATCACTTTCAAGGGGGTTTTTCGTCAAGAAAGTGCAGCCTCTACGCAGGTAACTACGGTACTGAGACAAAATTCATTTTCAATAATACTGCATGAATTAATCTACCCTTACCTTTAATAATCTTGGTATTTTCTTGCAGACTTTCAACCTCAGACTTATCCATGAATGTTAGGTTGATCAGCAATTCTTTATACGCTTGAACTGCAAGGTGAAGTCTAAGAAAACATTTAATTACTAAAGTTTAATTCTCAACTTTGGACACATCCAGTTATTGTAGGTCAGCAGCGGAAGATTGCCTCCAACTACCTCAAGTCTCAGGTTCAAATTCATCTCAGAGACTAACACAATTTTGTACCATGTTACTGACTCATTCAACCACTAAGCTCACTTGCTCACCACTGCAACTTCTCCTTAATCTCATTGGCTCTCTAAGATATTTTCGTTTCTTCTGATTGGCTGTTGTGATTACCGTGGATTTGGTTTTACCATATCCAATCATAAAGCATTCTTTGTAGTGATACACTGCTTAAATCTAATTTTATCAAAATTGTTATCGTTTAGCAATCCTATAGTAGCACAAGGACAAATGAGTTTGTAATATAAAGCAGTCTAAATGATGAGAGAAAATCTTGGGGAAAAAAATCTACTGTGGTTTTCTTTTCAAGACATGAAAGAACCAAAGGTGCAAGCCAACAACAGATGGTTACAGGTGCTTCCCTCTTTGTACAGTGCAGGATTTCAGTAGAAAAAACCCCTAATGTTCACTCCTTTAAAATCGTACCTGCGCCCCCATACAGAGGCTTCACTTTTGTTTGATTCCAAGCCATCATAAAACTTGACTATGACATTTAAAAGGTCAGTAAAGGTCACCACACTGAGGGTTTCACTAAAAAAGCAACAAAACAGAAAGGTTACAATGGATGCCTATTGACAAAAAATCTGCAAGTCTAAATTAGGAATGAAGGGTGAGGGGTAATTATTTCCCTCTCACTCTTAAGAGTGACCAAAAAGGACTTCTATTTGCAGCAGCTTTACATCTTCAAGCAGAGGAGTGATAAAATGACAGAAAAACATTAAGAAAGAGTTAATGTTTCATCAAAATAAAAATTGTACAAAATTTGTGGCAGCTATCCCCAAACGGTCACAAGAAAAAATAATTTACACAATGAGGATAATGATTCAAATGGAAACAATATTGGAAAGAGTTTTGACCTTTAGGACGTGAGAGAGCAAGATAGGGAGTCTGATTCCAGTAATCTTCTTTGAACACAAACTTTAATTACTTGAGAGGAAGGTTACCTTTAGAGCTAACAATATAACAAAAACATGACAACAACTTACTTATCTCAATGTTCACTCGTGTAACTCGAGAACTAGATTCGAATGTCCGAAGTGATTGCATAACCAGTCCAGAAAGTTACATAACATTCAAGGGTTACATAACCTTTAAGAGTTACATAACATTTAAGAGTTACATAACATTTAAGAGTTACATAACATTTTAGAGTTACATAAGAAAGATCAGCTGAGCGACATTCAAGAACGGTCTTGTCGAAGAAAAAGCAAATGTTGACTTCCGGAAGGTTCTACATATCATAGCATCTTTCCATTTTTCTATTTTTTTTTTTTTTAACTATAACTCAATGTCAAACTTTTTAGGTGGCTTGATCAGTTGTCCATGCCGTGTCCTTATCTCAGTTGTAGAAACTTCTTGAGGTGGTCTTGCACTCAGCTCTGTTGTTTGAGGTGTTGGGGGTAGTTGAGATCTAGGAGGGGACGTGGATGTTTCTACTTGAGAACTTGCTGGAGGGGGGTGGTTCTGTTCCGGCAGATTGCCTGGAACAATCAGGTCATCTTCGTCCATTTTGAAGGGGGTTTCTTGAAGTGGTTCCGTGGTAGAACGCAACTGCTTGCAATTACACCTGTAGAATCTACCATTGACTTCAACTTTGTAACTGCAAGATGCGACTTTAGAAGAAACAAGGCTGATAGTTTCTAGTTTAGAAGAAACAACTGCTTTTGACCACTTTGTTTCTCCAGGCATTTTCATGCGCACTATGTCATCTGATTTGAGTTCCGAGAGTTGTTTAGCATGTTGGTCGAAATGTTTCACTTGCTTGACACGATCCCTTTTGAGAAGATCACTAACTGTTTGGTCAATCTTGAGTAATGACTCTGAGAAGGGTAGAAGCGTCTTAGTTCGGCAACCAAAAAGTCTTTGGCATGGAGACATACTTGTCGCAGCAGTGGGGGTGTTATGGTGATCCAATAAACCAAGATATGGATTGGATTGGCACAGAAGAGCTTTCTTCATTAAAGTCTTGCAGGTTTTGACTGCACTTTTGGCCCTCCCATTAGCTTGTGAATAGTGTGGTGACATAGTGACGTGAGTGAACTTCCATGTTACTGCAAATCTTTGGAACTCTGAGGATGTATACTGAGGACCATTGTAAGAAACTACGTAATCGGGTACCCCATGTCGCGAAAAATGCATCTTCAGCTCGTGAATGACTGTCTGGGACAAAGTGTCAGCAAGGTGATCCAGCTCGATAAAGTTGCTGTAGTAATCAACTAATACAAGGTAATTTCGGTTCTCGAAGGTAAACAGATCTGTTCCAACTCATTGCCATGGCCTGTCAGGAACTGGGTGAGGCTGAAGAGGTTCACTGGCTTGTTCAGGTCTCACACTTTGACATATAGAGCACTTATCAATACGATTCTTGAGTTGTGCAGACATTCCTGACCAGAAGAAAACCTCTCTGGCCCTTCGAAGGCATGCTTGGAGTCCCTGATGAGACTTATGTGTTTCCTCTATCATACCACGGCGAAGGCTCTCTGGACAACGATCTTCGCTCCTTTAAAAACTAGGCCATTTTGGAGTGTCATTTCATCTTGGTATTTGAAGAAAAGCTGTGCGCTTGTAGGTACCAAGGAAGTTTTGTAGGCCAGCCAGCACGTATAACTTGTGACAACGCTTGTAAAGATTCATTTTTGGCCGTTTCCACTTGAAACTTGGCAAGTGTCGACTCTGATATCGACAAGTCTTCAACAAAGTTGACAGTTTCTAGATCTTTATAGCAGGATGAGGTGCTGGCATTATTTTTTTGGTATCTTTGACTGCCTAGGTAGAACACGAGAAAGTGCGTCAGCGATGTACATCTCTTTGCCTGGCTTGTAAGTGAGATTCAGGTCAAATCTTTGAAGACAAAGCATCATACACTGTAATCTCTTAGAAGCTGTATTGATTGGCTTCTTCTGTATAGCAATCAGTGGCTTGTGATCTGTTTTGACTGTGATGTGCTTGCCATAAATGTAATGTTTGAAGTGCTCACAAGAGAATACGACAGCTAGGAGCTCCTTCTCAATTTGTGCATAATTTTGCTATGTCGACGTCAGTGCTCTGTTAGCGTAGTAAACTGGCTGTCCTTCGTGAAGTAGAGTTGCACCAATGCCGTACTGTGAGGCATAGCACTGTATAGTGACATTCTTACTCACGTGAAAGTACTGTAGGACTGGGGCTTTAGTGATGAGCTCTTTTATCTCCTTGAAGGCTTTATCTTGAGGGTGTTGCCAATGCCATTCTATTTCCTTCTTTTCCAACTGTCTTAAGGGCTGTGATGCTGAAGACAGATGTTGGCATAATCTCACCAGATACTGCACCATTCCTAAAAACGTTCTGAGTTCTACGAGATTGGTAGGCACTGGATAGTCCACTATAGCCTGTACCTTTGACGGGTCAGGTTTTAGACTTTCCACTGTAAGGAGGTGTCCTATGAAAGGAACTTGAGACTGCCAAAGTTTCAACTTCTCGTTGTTGAGAGTGAGGTTTCTTTCTCTTGCGCGACGGAGGAAAGCCATGAGATTCTGACCATGGTTCGCAATTGCAGCTTCATTAGAGTCTCCAAAACCGCAAACTAGGAAATCATCGGCAATGACTTCAACACCTGTGAGTCCTTCTACTAGCTCGCGCATTCGTTGTTGCCATACTTCCGGGGCTGAGTTTATTCCGAATGGCATTCTGAGCCATCGATAGCGACCAAAAGGTGTGTTCATGGTTGTCAAGTAATTACTCTTTTCGTCAAGTTGTACCTGCTAGAATCCACATTTGGCATCTAACACGCTAGAGACTTTAGAACCACTAAGGCGAGTTGCTACTTCCTCGATAGTTGGAAGTGGATAATGCGAGCATTTCACTGCGTGGTTGAGATCTCGAGGATCCAGACATACTCGTATTTTCCCGTTAGATTTCTTCACTATAACAAGGCTAGAGACCCATGATGTCAGCTCAATTACCTTGGCGAAGATACCACTCTTCTTCACCATGTTATCCAGCTCTAACTTGAGGGTATCTCGAAGTGGGACTGGTACTTTGCAAGGCAGATGTACCACCGGGTGGAAACCTTCATCCACTTGAGTGGCGTAGGTTCCTTCAAGGCATCCAATTCCAGTGAAGATATTGGTAAATTCATAGAGGATAGGATCACTTCTAACATTTGATGAGATGTCAATTCTTTTGTCGTGAGTCGCGTTTACATCGGCATCCAAGATTTTGACCAGGTTCATCTTTTCACATGTCATTCAACAGAGGAGTGGTGTCAAATCTTGCTTTACAATGTGATAAAGAACTCCATATTTTCTTCCTTTCCGTTCAGTAAGTAGGCAGATTTGACCAGGTGGCCAGACTACAGTCTTGTTGTGCATGATGAGCCTTGTACACAACTGTTCAAAGGTCTTACACTGTTTGTCTCCTGTAGCTTGGATGTAGGTACTTTTGGGGAGGATGTTACATGAAGCACCTGTATCAATCTGAAGTTGTACTTTGGCATTATTATTAAGGGACGCTGTCACATAAGCTGATGTGGGGGAGGGTTTATGGCTGTAGATTTCACAATCTTGTACGTGATTGACAGAGCGAGAGTCGCATTTTTTTGCAAAGTGTCCTTCTTTGCCACATTTGGTGCATTTCTTGCCAACAGCTGGACAAGCTGACTTTTTCATCTCGTGAACAGTACCACAAAACTTGCATTCTCGAGTGTATACATTGTTGGGGTTACCAGAACTTTTCCCTCTTGGCTTCCACAGAGGAGTCCGCTTCTTACCTGAGGTGTGTTTATGCGATGTTGTATCCTCAGTCTGGGTCTTAGGCGATTTCGTTTTCTTGGCCTTTACCCTATTCACATTAGCTTCCTCAGTTGTCATGTCTAATGCGCGTATATCAGTTAACTCTTGTGTTCGCAAAATAACCAAAGCGTTATCCAAAGTGAGATCTTTCTTCTCTAAAAGTTTCTTGCGTGATCGATCATTCTTGACTCCAAGAATGAGGCGGTCTTTTATCAAGCTGTCTCTTAGGTTCATGAACCCAGTGTTCAGAAAGGCACATCAGTGCTGTGCAATATTGATCGACACTTTCTCCTGGTTCTTGCTCTCCCTTGAAGAGGTATTGTTCATACGTCTGATTTTGTTGCGGCAGACAACGAGATTCAAATTTAGCCAGGACATCATCAATATTGTCAGTGCTTTCGTCTTCAGTGAAGGTAAAGGTGTCTAACAATTGGACTCCTTCTCTTCCAACAATGTTAAGAAAATGAGCAACACGGACTGGGCTGTACTTTTGACTGATTCCAGCTGCCCGTTCATAGATTTGCCATGCCCTCTTTAAGTGTAACCAGTTATCACCTCTACAAGACCTGTCTTCAAGATTAAGAGGATCTGGAAGTTTGGCTAGCGGTACTGTCGTGGTATAGATCAGTGCAGCAGCCAATGAACCAGAAGACTGCTGACCAGCAGAGGTCAAGGTCATGACCAAACTAAAATAAACTTCCACCAACAACAACAAAGCTCGTGGACGTTACTCACCTCCTGACACCAAGTTTTGACCTTTAGGACGCGAGAGAGCAAGATAGGGAGTCTGAGTCCAGTAAGCTTCTTTGAACACAAACTTTAATTACTTGAGAGGCAGGTTACCTTTAGAGCTAACAATATAACAACAACATGACAACGACTAACTTATGTCAATGTTCACTCGTGTAACTCGAGAACTAGATTCGAATGTCCGAAGTGATTACATAACCAGTCCAGAAAGTTACATAACATTCCAGGGTTACATAACCTTTAAGAGTTACATAAGAAAGATCAGCTGATCGACATTCAAGAACGGTCTTGTCAAAGAAAAAGCAAATGTTGACTTCCGGAATTTTCTACATATCATAACAGAAAGTTTCTCATCCCTACCTGATATAATCAACTCGAAAGTCATGGTGTCTGCTGAATTCCATGAAAAATCTTTAAAAGATGTACAAAAAAATTAAACCTCAGCAAAACAAAAGCAAGAAAAAAATTAATACATATTAGCTGTACTGCTTTACATCAACTAAGGACCAGAGTGATTGTTTTACATACTGGAATAACAGTTTGTAGCATAAAGAATGTAGATGGCACATACATGCATCACTTCTAAACTGCTAATGAGTTGTCATTTACTGTGTATATGTTGCACTGTACAGATTAAAGACAGCAGACTAACTCAGAAGTGAGACTTAAGTTTTTGAATGAATTTTATATATGCTACTTAAAGTGTAACATTTTATAAAGGGATTCATACCTCATTGCCCATAGGAAGTAAGATTCATCATTCTCTTGAGATCTCCCATGTTTGATGTTATCCTAAGAGTAATGAATATGAATTCACTAGTGTCAAAGAGCTCATTCACTACAAACAGTCCTTTCAAGGTTGTTTACATTAACTCTACGTAAGAAAATACAATGAATTGAGATCAATGTGAAAGTGCTCAAATTTACACAAGTAATTAAATTTATCTCCTTTACAGTGTCAGTTGTGGACTGAAGAAGTTTAATGCAACTTACCTTTACAATGTTCATGAGTGGATTGTAGCAATTTTTCAAAAACTCCTTGCAAAAGTTCCTTAAAAATAACCTAGAAGAAAACAAAAAAAAAAGAGTAATAAGTTTTGATGGTTGGATGACTATCAAATGTTTGGAAATTGCAATGTTTGTTAATCTAATCAAGACACCTACAGCAACTTAAGATCAGGTACCTTATGCTCAATGTGGATCTCCTTTCTTCTCCCATTTCTTTTGCAAGCAGTTGTTTTTTCCTCTTCTTAGGTGCTGTTTTGTTATGGTCAAAACTCATGTTTTTCACCTCTAGTGTTACAAGAAAGCATTGTTTTATTAGATGTTCCATCAGTAGAATGACAAATGAAATGAACAACAAAACTGAACCACACATTTTGACAGTGATTGTACAGCTTAAGAATGAAACCTAGTTGTGCCAAGAGCCTTCAGCACCCATTTTGTGCAGGCCTCTCTGTACATCTGCCTTAAAGTAGTTGCATGGTTATTAAAATACTCACCGGCAAGTGGTCTATGATATACAAGCTCATTCTTATCATTTATGGATTTCATATTCTGGACATAAAACGTTCCGCCAAATCTGGAATGTCTAAAATGGAAAGTAAAGTGTATCACTAACAACTGAAGCTAAATCATTTGTGTAAAGGTCATACATGTCTTGTAATACTAAAACCAAACTGCACTGAAGTTTAGGTGAATCATGAAAACTTGAGTTAAACAGAAACTTTGAAAGGCACAGAGCACAATAACAAATTAGTTATATATAGCTGTAAAAACCCATTTTTTTTGCTACAGTAACTAACCTTCCTGAAAATTTCCTTGCATTGTTTAACTTTTCTGCAAGCTCATGTTGCCGAATGATCTCAAGCTGCCTGTGAAAACAATGAGGGCATTCAAATTCAATGCAAAATCACTATCTTTGAGTTCTAGGGTATACAGACTTCACTGAGAAAATTTAATGTTGAAAATCATACTGTATGCTCATTTTATTATAAAATGAGTATTCAGTAGTTGATTTGGAGCCAGAAGTAATGGGAACTGAATTGTGGAGGGTGATTGTACAGGTGAGATATCTGTGAGAGTATCACCAACAATAAACCATTCCCACCTGAACAGTCACAAAAACAGAATTGATAATTAGTGTATATCAGATACAATGAAATATATGAAGTTCATATATTTTGAACTGCAGTATTAGATACGTATGATGCACGATCCTCCCAGTAGATAGCACTATTTAAGCAACAGCAAAAATCAGACCTGAAAAAAATCAGGCCTGTACGGGATTCGAACCACTGACCTCTGCGATACTAGTGCAGCCCTCTACCAATTGAGCTAACAAGCCAACTGGGAACAGGCCGTTAAGTTGATTCGTAATAAACCCGTGAAAGTGATAAATCAGATACAATGAAATATATGAAGTTCATATATTTTGAACTGCAGTATTAGATACGTATGATGCACGATCCTCCCAGTAGATAGCACTATTTAAGCAACAGCAAAAATCAGACCTGAAAAAAATCAGGCCTGTACGGGATTCGAACCACTGACCTCTGCGATACTAGTGCAGCGCTCTACCAATTGAGCTAACAAGCCAACTGGGAGCAGGCCGTTAAGTTGATTCGTAATAAA